TGTCATTGTCCTAAGAGCTGAACAGTGGTTAATGAGAGGTGCATCCTGTTTGCCTATCACTCATTTCCAGGTCACAGGCACTCAGAGTGGAGGGCATGGAAGACCAGCAGGAGGCTTAGGGAGTCTCCTTCTTCTTCTCTTCCCTCTGCTAGGTACCTTCCAAGTCTACTCTGAGTGCCTGGGGGACATTCCTTTTCTCCCACAACCACCTCGTACCACCCCAGCTTCACCCAGGGTCTGGTAGTCTGAGGTGCCCGCTCTAGCTTTCCCACCTGTCTTCTCCCCCAGGGTGACAAGGAGGCAGAGCTGGGTCTGCCCTTCTCTCCGCTGTGTGATCGCACTTCCACTCTCGTGGCACAGTCCCAGATTGGTGAGTATCCTTTCTCGCAGGGAGGAGAGGACTGCGAAGGGGAAAGAATGCTGTGTGAGGCCTGGGCCAGGACTTCCCCACGTCCCAACCTCAAAGCCATTCTTCCCATAGAGGCAAGCCTGCTGTATTAGGGCGTGGGGTCCTGGGTGGAAGGCCAGGGGTGTGCAATGGTGGGGAGGAGTTCTCTGAGGTCACAAATGCATCATCCCAAAGGCTGCCTTCATTGGGAACTTTTCAGCCATAGGTTACTCTGTTTTACGTACAGACACGGGTCACAGCCATGCTGGCCACATCCACTACCCAGCCCTCCAGGTAAGACATTGTCATGGTGTTACCCTCTGCACTGCAGGTTTCATTGACTTCATTGTGGAGCCCACATTCTCCGTGCTGACCGATGTGGCTGAGAAGAGTGTCCAGCCCTTGGTGGATGATGACTCCAAGTCTAAAAACCAGCCCAGGTGAGGATGACTGGGGTAGCCCAGCCTCCTGGCTCTGGGAGAAGGGAGTCAGACTCACAGAGGGCGGACCCCCAGGGAGGAGGTAGAGCCATGGAAGGGGTGGCGGAGGAGCAGGCTACTCCAAACAGGAGAGCCGCTGTGCTGTGTGTCACACACAGGGGCGGAAGGATGGGGCCATGTGACCAAACGCGTGTGCTTGCACCTGTATTCCCTCCACCATATTTTTGTTTCTCCCATTAGCTCTGTTTATTGCCTTTCTGCCAATCTTGTTTTTATTTTCCTTCTAGTAAAAGGGAAGGTGTGGAGAGGGAGGGGTGAAATCTGGGAGGAGGGGGACAGGGACTTGGAAGGTACCTAGCAGAGGGAAGAGGAGAAAAAGGAGGCTCCCTAAGCCTCCTGCTGGCCTTCCATCCCCTCCTCTCTGAGGGCTGTGAAGGTGGTTCTGGAATGGCTTGGGTCCCACCTCTAAAGTTGGTGGGGGGGGGCTGCTTCTAGCTTTCAGTGGCGCCAGCCATCTCTGGATGTGGAAGTAGGAGACCCTAACCCTGATGTGATCAGCTTCCGCTCCACCTGGACTAAATACATTCAGGAGAACAAGCAGAAATGGAAGGAACAGGCAGCAAGCGGTGGGTACCATTGTGGGCACGAAGCCGTGGGAGGAGGTGGCTAACGGAGTAGTAGCAGGTCCATTTTCCTCAAGCCCCTGGAGCAGCCGTTGACTCCGAGTTGGGAATAGAGCTGATCAGACTACAGTTAGATGACAGGAAAGACTGACGAGCTAATTGGCCTGAACTGTTCTAGAATGAGAACTGGAGAGAGAATAGGGACAGCCATATTCCACAACCAAGGGGCCTTATGCACATTGCAGCCTGTGAGTGGTGCTCCTGTAGATTAGGGTCACTTGGTGGCCACGGCTGGGAGTCTTTCCTGAATGTGGGAGTTGAGATTGTGATGAGCAATCTGAAGGCCCGAGTGGCTCTCCACAAGTGGCCGGGGGTTGAAGATAGGAGGATGCATGAGAATCTCTTACTTTTCTCCACATACTCCTTGGTTCTGGGGAAAACTACTTCTTGGTCTGGTCTCAGCTTCCTTCATGCCCCTCTGCAGGCATCACCAACCAGATGTCCATTGACGAGCTGTCCCCCTGTGAGGAGGAGGCCCCGCCCTCCCCCGCCCAAGATGAACACAACCAGAACGGGAATCTGGACTAGCCTGGGGCTGGCCCAGGTGAGCCTGTCATGGTGGAGTGGGGGTGGGGGGGTCTTGATGTTGGGCGGGGAGTAGGGAGAGTTGGGTGTCCAACATGGCATTTTGAAGAGTCATCTCTGGGGTTCAATGGATGTGAGGTGCTCCCTCCCTCCTTCCAGGCAGGAGAGTGATGGAAGTGAACACATAGAACTGAGTCAGGGTGTGAATGTGAAGCCAGGAAATCCTCCCAGCTCTTCTGTCCCAGTCCCTGCATTTGGAAAGCAGGTAGCTCTTCAGAGCAGGGTGGGGCCTGAGCAAGGCCAGAGCCATCCAGGTAGCACCTTTGTGAGGGCTCGGGAAAAGGAACCAGCTGGGGCACAGGCTCTGTGAGGTTGGTTGGCACGACTTCGATTGCAGCTCCTGCTCACACCTTGGCTGAGTACCCTTCTGCAAGGCATTCTTTTGCACAATTATTTGTGGGACCGAGTGGGGATCTGGGCGGGACTTGGAGAAGGTAAGTCAGGCTGGAAATAAAGGCAAAGGTCCGAGCACTGAAACTTCCCGTCTTTCCCCAGGTCCTCATTGAGTCCCAGTGTTAGATGTCATCAGCACCATCCATCGGGACTAGCTCCCCCATCTGCTCCAAGGGAGCATGAAGGTCGAGGAAGAGACAACCCACCCGAAGGCCAAATGCCAGAGAATGTGGGGTTGGGGAAGGGCCCCTCCCCACCCGACACCCATTGGGCCATACTTTAATCTCCCGGCAGCAAGACTGGAGAACTTCAGGCTCCCAATGGTCACTGTGCCCATCCCCCTGGCCAGATGGATGTCTGGGGAAGGGGAGCTTCCTGTAGGCTTCCCAGGGTTTGGGGGGAGGGTCAGAGATGCCAGCCCCCTGGACCCTCCCCCATCCTTTTTGCCTCCAAGTTTCTAAGCAATAAATTTTGGGGGTTCCCTCAGCCCCCCACCCCAGATCTTAGCTGGAAGGTCTGGGTCCCCTTTTCCTCCCCTGGGAGGGGCTGGAACAGGAGAGAAAGCTGGGGGGTTTCAGAGCCCGATGCGTGGGGAGGGGAGTGGGCTCCTTCAGGGCATGGTATCATTTTAGGGCCTGGGAATGGGGGGTGGGCAGCCTCTTTACCCCAGACCTGCACTGCTTCAGCCCCATCCCCAGCTCGACCCCTTACTTCTTCCCTCCTCCCATTCTGTCATGGCAACTGGAGAAGAGGACCAGGGGCTGAGAGCAGGTCTTTCCTGGGGTCCCTAAGAGCTTGGGACTGGTCTGGGTCTGGGACATGGAACCTGCCCTGGCTGATGCCTGAGCCCTTTGCCTCCTTCCTTCCCCTGGGCTGGAGCCTCCCATCCGACCAATGTCTGTAACGTGCTTTGAGTCTCCTCAGCAAAGCCCCTTCAGGATGCATCTTACGAGCACAGGCAGGAGAGACCAGCTGGGTCAGGGTCAAGGGTGCATGATGGGGGTGAGGTATAATCCAGTAATGCTGTGTTAACCACCAGAGGATCCCTCCCCTCCTCCATTCCAGCACTGGCCCAGCTGCGGGCACCAAGAGGCCCCTCCTCTGTGACAGTGGGGAGGGATGGGAGGAAGGCAGATGGGGAGGGGCTCAGGGTACTGCTGTAATGCCCTCTGAAGAGAGCCCCCCAGGCCCCCGTCCCTTCCTTTCCTCAGGTTCCTCTCACCCCACCTTGTCCCAGGAAAGGCCCAAGTCCAGGTGACTGCTCTCCTTTGTTCTCGTAAATATCAATCATGCATCTGTACAGTGGGCCCTGTTCATGTGAAGTCCATATCCATGGTCTCTTAGACCTGCCACCCTGCCACCTGTCCCCCCTCCCCCACCCGAGTAGGGCAGAGACGCATGTGACTCATCCCTGCCCTCGGTCTCCCAGAACCCTGCTATATAGTCAGAGATCAATAAAGAAGGGAGACCAGGCTTGACTGTGTTTGGTGTTCACTGGTGGAAGTCCACCACGCATCTTCAGATACACTGTCCCTTTAAGCTTGATAAAATCCGGTGCAGTCGGTGTTCTATCTGATATGTATATATAGTGGGCAAGCTGAGGCCCAGAAAGGTGAGATGTTGCCTGAGGGCACACAGTAGGGAGGGCAGAAGTGGGACCTTACACGTCTGAGGTTCTTTTTCTCTCCATTAAACTGCTCCTTAAGGAGGGACAAATCTTCCCTCCCTCCCTCCCTCCCTCTTTTCCTTCCTTTAAGCTTAACTGAGACCTCCCAGGGGAAAGACTTCCCTTCCCTTTCTTCCTTCTTTCCTTCCTTCCTTCCTTCCTTCCTTCCTTCCTTCCTTCCTTCCTTCCTTCCTTCCTTCCTTCTCCCCTCCACTACCTGGGAAAATCAAAATCAGTGGGCAGGAGAGGCCCGGCTTTGGGGTCTGAGGAAGTTTCCTCACCTATGCCCAGCTTTTGTCTTTTACCCCCTCCCCTTGGTGTCTAGGACAAGGGGCAGAGTGACCTTCCCAATTCCCAGCAAGGGCCTCTTAGATAATAGCCACTGTATTCTCAATACACCTTTGCTAATAGGTTGGAGTAGGGGTGGTGGTCTCCTCACAGGTGGAAGTTTGGGAATCACGGAAGCTTGGAGGGCAGGCGAGGAGGCATTTGGGCCGCGCCAGGCTGCAGTTCCCCATTTTGTCCAGCAGATGATGCTCACACAAAGTCACAGTTAGGCTGGCCTTAGAGCTCCAAGGCTCGCAGCTGCAGGGAAGCCGGCCAGGTGGCGATATCCATTCAGTAGGAAAAGAGAACCTGGGGTCATTCTTTCCTCTTGGTACCCTGGAATTAAGTCCTCCCATCTATCTGACCCCCATTCCTCTTCCCGCAGCAAATAAGGCAGGGATGGGGAAGAACCCCCTTCTCAAGTCTCCTGCCCATTGGCAACTGGGCACAGGGTAGAGAGGGCAGGACAAGAGGGGAGAGGGAAAAGATTCTCCAAGTCGGGAAAGAAGGAAAATACCAAGGATCTAACACCAAATTTATCACTTTTTAAAAATGAGATTTTCCCCAAAGTGAAGAAATAAGAAACAAATCCAGTGTCCACACACTCCCAGCTGCAGGCGTGTACCCAGGATCTCTCCTTCATCCTCAGACCTGCTGTGGGGAAAGGGGGCAGAAAGACAGGGTGAGTGAGAGGCCTCCTCCCGAGCTGGTCTGCCCAATCATCCCGTTAGTCAAGTATCTAATTTCTGATGTCTGACACCAGCTCCTTGTCCAGTCTATGCAGGGGAGGGAGGACTGTAACATCGAAGCTCACGACGTTATTCCAGCAATGTCTCCACTCCAGGCAGGTCCACTGCTCATCAGCCTGGATAGCTGAGGGTTCCCAATGCCCTTTATCAGAAAACCCATGGTCTATTTCCATCACCTATTCCAGGAGCTGGAAGTCCTAATTCAGAGTCTAACCTCAGTCCCTGCTGCTGCAGCTTCTCATTTGTCCATTCTCTTGCCATAGAGACTAGCTCTTCAGGGACTAAAGCTGGTGCTCTGTTCCCCGCTCCCTGAGTCCAGATCTTAGCCCTCACCTTTCTTCCACACAGTTGCTCTCCTATAGACCCACAGCCCAGCCGTGGCAGCTTACCGAGTTGGCTCCCTGGGAACCCAGTGGTGGTATATGGGTTGAGAGTTCTTCTGTGCTGGGTTTCTCACTGCCCCTCTCCTGAGTTTTTGGGGTGGATTCTGCAAGCTCTAAGGAGGGAAAATGAGGGTGGGAGGAGAGGTGGTATTCATGAGGGCTGGTAGAGAGGGCAGTGCTCACCCTACCCCATACTCTAACGACCCGAGAGGAGCCAAGACCAAGCTGGGGCAATTGGCCAAGACCAACAGGGTTTTCTCTGAGTACAATTCCTACTATAGAATCACTATGTTTAATTTTTTTTTCAAAAAAGAAAAAAAGAAAAAAACCCTCCAAAAAAGTTTTCAAATTTGGGTACAGTCTCAATGTGTGGCTCAATCTGACCTGAACTGATATGAAGCTACTTATCCCACTTAGTGGGATAGTTCATTTCACTGTAGAAATATTAATGTGTCTGATTACAGGGTGCTCTCCTGGGGATACTATATAATATACAGTATACATACTGTATCACCTTCACAAAATTGGAAAAATTCTGACTTCTGGACTAATTAGGATAAGGGACTATGAACATGTATTAACAGTACCCCCAGCAGTTTCCACTTAACTGCATGCTTTGTATGTGCCAGTTACTGGGCAGGTTCATTTAATTTTCACAAACTACCAGTGAATCAGGCACCATCATTATCATTTTATAGACGGAGGTTTAGTTGCTCGAGGCCTCTGGGCTGGGAAAGAGGCAGAGCTGGGACTCTAGCCTATGAATGCTGTGCCCATTATGATGGGCTCCCCACATTCAGCCACAACAGGGAGCTCTGATGGCCAGTTGGGAAGGGTTGGGTCATTTGGTAAGGAAAGATGAAGAGATGCAAATACATGCAATACGTGCAGATACATCCATATTCTGAAGATAGTTTCTGGCTATTACTAGACTCCTCCCCACAATAGGCTGCCTCTTCCTGGGCTGGAACGTACTTTGTGCTTTCCCAGAGGCGCCCAGTCTTGACTCCGCTTCTGTGTCTGTGGTCTTAGGTGGGCACGTCTCCTGGGTCTCTTTGCTCCCAGCGGCTCCCTCAGGCTCCTCTCCCTGCTGCTGTTGCCCCAGGTGATGTTCAACCATCATCTGAAGCTCTGGGGATGCAGAGAAAGGGAGGGAACATTGGACATGACTGCCCAGAGCCTCCTTTGTGAACACTCAGCTTCAACAACCACACTAACTGGCCATCACACACTGTCATGCCCTGTGATCTGAACAAGGAGGGACATTCGCTAGGCAATTAGGAGGGACTAAAGCTAGACAATAAGACATATTTCCTTCAAAGGTAAGAAAGGTGCTCTGGCCGGCGTGGCTCAGTTGGTTGAGCACTGTTCCGAAAGGCTGCTGGTTCAATTCCAGGTCAGTCAGTGCACATACCCTGGTTGCAAGTTTGATCTCCAGTCGGGGTGCATATAGGAGGCAACCGATCGATGTTTCTTTCTTACATTGATGTTTCTCTCTCTCTTTCTCCCTATCCCTTCCTCTCGCTCTCAAATCAATAAAAACCTTTTTTTTTTAAACAATAAGAAAAGGGTAGGGAAGAGCCTTTAAGAACAAAAGGCTCTAACTTGTTGGGATACTTGGCCTCCCTTGGGGGCAGGAGAAAAGACTCAAGTTAGAGTAAAAAATATTTGAAATTAAAACAGCATGGTGCTGGCATAAAAAGAGACACACAGACCAATGGAAAAGAATAGAGAGGCCAGAAATAAACTCACACCTATATGGTCAATAAATATATGACAAAGGGGGCAAGAACACACAGTGGGGTAAAATTAGTCTATTCAATAAATGATGCTGGGAAAACTGGACAGATACATGCACCCCCCCAAAAAAAACACCCCTCCCCCACAAAACTAGATCACCTTCTTACACCATATAAAATAATAAACTCAAAATAGATCAAAGATTTAAATGTAAGACCCAAAACCATAAAACTAGAAGAAAACATAGGCATAAACTCTCTAACATTGCTCTTAGTAATATATATATATATATATTTTTCTGATATATCTACATAGGCAAGAGAAACAAAAGAAAAAACAAACAAATGGGACTACAAACTAAAAAGTTTTGGCACAGCAAAGGAAACTATCAACAAAATGAAAAGACAACCTGCTGAATGCGAGAAGATATTTACTAGTGATACATCCGATAAGGGGTTACTATCCAAAATTTACAAAGAACTCATACAACTCAACACCAAAAACAACCCCAAACAATCCAATTAAAAAATGGGCAGAGGACGTGATAGACATTTCTTCAAAGAGGATATACAGATGGCAAATAGATACATGAGAAGATGCTCAATGTCACTAATAATCAGAAAAATGCAAATTAAAACCTCAATGAAATATCACCTCACACCTGTCAGAATAGCTATCATCAATAAATCAACCAACAATGAGTGTTGGTGAGGATGTGGAAAAAAGAGAACCCTCTTGCACTGTTGGTGGGAATGTAGATTAGTGCAGCCACCGTGGAAAACAGTATGAAGGGTCCTCAAAAATTTAAATGTGAAACTGTCTTACAACCCAGAGATTTTATTTCTGGGTACCTATCTGAAGGAATCTAAAACACTAATTTGAAAGATATAGGCACCCCTTTGTTCATTGCACCATTATTTACAACTAGAGGCTCGGTGCATGGAAATTTGTGCACTTGCTGGTGGGGGGGGGCGGGGGGAGGGAGGTTCCTCAGCCCGGTCTGTGCCCTCTTGCAGTCTGGGGCCCCTTGGGGATGTCCACCTACCAGCTTAGGCCTGCTCCCCAGGGGATGGATCTAAGCTGGCAGTCAGACATCCCTCTGGCAGCTTGGGACTCTTCAGGGGATGTCCACCTGCTGGCTTAGGCCTGCTCCCCAGGGGATGGGGCCTAAGTTGGAAGTCAGACATCCCTCTGGCAGCCTGGGACCCGTTGGGGGATGTCTGACAGATGGCTTAGGCCTGCTCCCTATGGGGACATCCTTAGTGCTGCTGCGGAGGTGGGAGAGGCTCCCGTGAGCTGGCTTCTGGCTGAGCGGTGCTCCCCCTGTGGAAACGCACTGACCACCAGGGAGCAGCTCCTGTGTTGAGCATTTGCCCCCTGGTGGTCAGTGCACATCATAGCGACTGGTTGTTCCCAGTTGTTCCACCATTAGCGTTAATTTGCATATTGCCCTTTTATTATATAGGATAGCCAAGATATAGAAGCAATTTAAGTGCCCAGCAATAGATGATTAGATAAAGATGTGGTACAAATACACAATGGAACATTACTTGGCCATAAAAAAGAATGAAATTTTACCATTTGTGGCAACATGGGTGGACCTAAAGGACATTATACTAAATGAAATAAGTCATATAAAGACAAATATCATATGATTTCACTTACATATGGAATTGAAAGAAATAAATGAACAAACAAAACAGAAACAGACTCATGGATACAGAGAATAAAGTGATGGTTGACAAATGGGAGGGGATTTGGGGGGGCAGGTGAAAAAGGTGAAGTGATAAAGAAGTAAAAATTGATAGTTACAAAATAGTCATGGAGATGTAAAATACAGCAAAGGAAATAGTCAATAATATTGTAATAACTATGCATGGTTCCAGGTGGGTACTGAAATTATCAGGGGGATAACTTCATAAATTATATAAATGTTTAACTGCTATGATGTATACCTGAAACCAATCTACACTAATAAAAGACAAAGATGCTAATTGACTGTACTTTTGCTATGCTCAAGCCATGCCCACCAGCCTATCAGGGTGACTATCTGCAAATTAACCCAACCAAGATTGCGGCCAGCAGCCATGGAGCTGGAGCAAGCAGGAGGCTTGATTGCCCCGGCGATGGAGGAAGCCAAGCTTCTCACCTGCTCTGGCCTCCACAAAAGGCAACAAAGTTTCCATTATAGAAGCTAAATAATTCCCAGATCCCTGCTTCCAGTCAGCCTCCACTGGGAGCTTGGGTGGCTCGGGGCTGTGGCCAGCCTGCAAACAGCCATCAGCCCCTCATCCAGGCTGGCCAGACACCCTGGCGGGGACCCCTACCCTAAAGGGGCTGTGACCAGCCTGCAAACAGCCATTAGTCCCTCACTCAGGATGGCCACACCCTTATGGGGTGAGGGTCCCTGGTGGGGGGCTTGGCCAGCCTGCAAACAGCCATCAGCCCCTCACCCAGGCTGGCCAGGTACCCCAGGGGGGACCCCCACCCTGGAGGGGCTGTGGCCAACCTGAAAACAGCTGTCAGCCCCTCACCCAGGCTGGCCAGGCAGCCCAGCAGGGACCTCCACCCCAAAGGGGGTGTGGCCAACCTGCAAAAAGCCGTCAGCCCCTCACCCAGGCTGGCCAGGCACCCCAGCAGGGACCCCCACCCCGAAGGGGCTGTGACCAGCCTGCAAATATCCCTCAGCCTCTCACCCAGGCTGGCCAGGCACCCCAGTGGGGACCCCCTCTCTGAAGGGGGTGTGGCCAACCTGCAAAAAGCCGTCAGCCCCTCACCCAGGGTGGCCAGGCACCCCAGCAGGGACCCCCACCCCGAAGGGGCTGTGACCAGCCTGCAAATATCCCTCAGCCCCTCACCCAGGCTGGCCAGGCACCCCAGCGGGGATCCATACCCTGAAGGGGGTGTGGCCACT